ACATTGATAGCCTAAGTTTGTTCCTACCAGCTGCGTGGTGTGAATCGTTCTCTTATCAAATCCAAGGTGAGCGCATCTAGAAAGGTGTCAGAGGCTGTTAACTATATTTGTTCCCGTGGAATCGAGCAAACTGTAGTATGTGCAAGTGGAATTTTCCCCACTAACTACATACTTTCAGCCCTATTTCTTATTCTCAAATTAGTTCTAAAACCTTGATATGTGTTATGTTGTATAAATTGTAAATTATCCTTGTTTGAGTGTATTCTGTCCCAGAGGGATGAAATACAGTACTTTCATTTCTTAACAACGCAGTTTCCCACAGAAACTTTCATTTGTCCGATTGTCAAAAAAAGCGGCATTACTTGTTGACAATCAGCTGCATTTTACCGCTTATGGCAACCGTTAGACGGCAGTTATAACCAACCTTTTGCTGTCGTTATGAGCTTGTATACTGGCACGCATGTTATTTTCGACGTTGTTAAAAAAGTTTTCCTGTTTCTTCAAGTGCGTTGCATTCGGCATTCAACATGTTTTAGTCCGATGTCATAAACTGACACTTCAACAACAATTGTTGCCATGTTTATGTTTCTTTGCAATACGTAGTATCAAATATCACTCTATTTTGTAATTGTCTTTTGTTAATGGTGTTGCGGATGATCACGAAAATTTTCGATCCAATCTTATAAATCTGTTAATTGTAAATTTTACAATTTTAAGTGGAGGCAGGAAAAAGACAAAAACTTTTAAGTTAAACGTGATTGCATGTGTGCTTAACAATAGTGTTAAATTTAATTAAATAAAATGAAGGCTACTTTGAACAGAGGCAAGTATAGTTTTGGGTATTGTGCTATAAATTTCCTCCAAGGTGCTAATAGCTTGGAGCAAAATAAATTAGCATTTCTCAGTGTCTGGATTTTTTTCATGTTTTAATTATTTATTGTACGACACGTTAATGTATTATTTATAATTAGGACAATTTTTATCTGTTGTTTTTTGCTATGTCAAATGTAGTAAGTTTATATATCATGTAAACTTGTTTTCTTGTTATGTGATAATAAGAAGCGTGAAACTGTTAATGGAGGGGCAATTCTCACTATATAATTGCATTAAACCCATCTTGTTTTTAAAAGATGTTGGTGGGTGTTAGACAGGTGTAGTCCAGGAAGAAAGTTGAAGCCAGTTACACGTAACTTCTTATTCTTAACCCTTTAAGCCCCAAGATGCACATACAAATTCTCCAGACTGATCTACATACATTTCTTTTAAGGGAAGGTTGAGAGAATTTGGTTTAAGATGAAAACGTTCTCCCTATGGTAATCAATTTATAAATTCTCATAGCCTTTACTCTTGTTGATCTACTGATGTTGTTAGGAGAAAGTTAATGTTGGTCACTCTTGGAACCTAAAGGGTTAAAGGAACTGTGTCAAGAAATTTATCCAAATTCAAATGGTGGGAACGTAACTGCCACCAAGTTGGGTGTAACATTAACATAACTGCTCAAAACATGAAAGGGAGGTAAAAAAACACAGCAAATACAAAAGAAAAAAAATGGATGGTCAAACGTGAAGAAGATTAAAAGGATTGCAATTGTGGTTTTTGAAAACTTGTTCGCCTAACAGTTTTTCAAAGCTCATTTTTGTTGTTTGTAACGTTCGATATTATGCTTAGGAAGACTTGTTTGACATGAAACTTTGATTTTGTCATTCACAAGACAGTAATTTCTGAAGTTTCATAGGGAGTAAGGACACTTAATTGGCATTATAGACAAAATGAACCAGCCAGGTGTAACACAGCCCCTGTTCTACTATATTGGATACATGTACCAATCAATCATACCTGTAACTCATTGTACTTCATCCAAGGTGGAAGAGTTTGTGTCTAGTATGGTGGCATTCGCCAAAGTTAATTTGGCTGTGTAAAATACATGTAAAATGTAAAGAGTCTCATACATTTGTACCACAACTAAACACTAGATCATAGAATAGTAATTTTTTTTATTCTAATCTACAGAAATTTCACTGTTTCTAAGGCTTTTGCTACTTTTAAGGGACTTTTGCTCAAAAGAAAGAAAAAACTGTCCAAAATTATACACAAGCAAATTGGTGAAGGTAACATTTGGCAACATGAGAAATTAAATATGCAAACATCATTTTCGTAGAGAGAAAATAATCGTTGAGGCATGGTATTGAGACAGTTTTTCTTTATAGAGCATGATTGCCATAATAAAAGTAACATAACCTGTTACTAGTACAAAAGTCTAGTATGTCAATCAGGATACAGCCAAATTACATGTGATGTTGTAACATTATTATTATTATTTACTAAGCACTGATACTCTGTCGCCGCATTTTTTTTCCAACACATTTAGACTCTGTCCTACAATTTATTGCAATTATACCGGTCGAGCTACACTGTATGTGCAATTTAATTGTTATTTTGTATAGTATTGTTTTTTAATGTGTTTATAAATGTCACAAGTATTTTTGCACTATTTCCACACCTTTTCCTATCATTATTTAGCTTATTTTGTCTAGGTTATGACGTCCTCTCAGTTGTGCAGTAAGATGCACCCCAAACTTTTTAACTTGATTTTGTCAAGTTAACGTAGGCCAAAACAGGCTTTCATAAGGGTTCAATATCACTGGTAAAAAATTCCAGAGAATTTCGATAAAGCGTATGCCATGAGTGCTTTGAACAGCTTCAAAAACATCCACAGAGAATTTCAAAAAGATTGCTTTAATTCATTTTTTTCCATTAAAATGTACTGATTGCATAGCGTCAAACAAAAGCAGCCAATATAACAAAAATTGGTCAGAAATAAAGATGCAAATGCATCATGTAACTGAAGTGCACAGTTTTTAAAGCGCCTACTTGCCTTCACAATAGCCGATAGTTTTACTTTCCTTAAAGGTGTCAATTGGTCTGTGTGTTCTCCCTTTTTTAACGACCTCACATCACCGTTATATAGATTGTCGTTTCCCTGTATTACCCGCAACTATTAAAAATACCTTAAATATGCAAACTGGTAAGAATTAAATTCTGTTGTTTGTGACTCATTTCACCTATTCCTTCTTGAAATAGTGACAGCAATGTCTTTATGGACCGTGATTTGGTGCTCTCTTGGTTTGAAAACTTTGTATTTCGTGTAAGAATAAGTTCTGACTGATCATGGTTTTTTGTTTGTTAAATAGAAACTTTTTTGTTACCAGTAGATAGATCTTGTCGAAGTTTAACTTTGACAAAATCTACCTACTGAAAACAAAATTGAGTTTTCATTAAACTGCAAATTTGATATAAATTTTTTTTATTAGTATTCTTTATTTAAAATGTTTATCCTTATCAGTAGTCCATTGTTTCAGTTATTCAACCTTGTATAGAGATGAGAAGTTGTTACGTCACGTTGCCATTCACACTGTTTCAAACTTCATTGATCCTATTTAATTTCATTTAATTTGTCAAATGTTGGCAAAATTTTCTGGGTTAAATCTGAAAGGACCATATCTAAGTTTAGAGAAAGAAAAAGAAAATTTGTGTGTTGTGTTTCAGAAGTTTCATGTTGCAGTCGTGAACAATAGCTAAGAAATATACAAAAAAGCATGATGCACATGCAAAGTTGTTTTTTTGCCAATCTAAACCTATTGCTTTGTTTCTGTTCGTCGTCGCCATTGCAAAAACTCCCTATTGTTGTGATCCACAAATTTTGCTACGGTGGTAACGTTTTACTGGGTATAAAGGTCCTTACACATGAATAATTCGCAAAGTCTATCGGACAATATGTTTTTGATGGTTAAAATCTCGGGGTTGTCACTAAGATTTCAAGTTGCCGCGTAAACACAACAAGTAGGCGGGGAATCAAACGGCTAGGGATTTCTTTTGGTTCTATTTTTCTTCTATTTTCCAATAAAAGTAGGCGGGGGCCACTCTCTTAGTAGCCGGCGAAAATCCCCGGCCCCCGGCTCTTAATGACAACCCTGAAATCTGATGCAGTTTTATTTCATTCCCTGAAAATACTTGGTCATCAGATGTACCCCAAAATTATAACAGGTTAAATTAAACTATTAAAGGAAGATTTTTGTGAAAAAAATGCTGCACCTTATAATATTGAAAAAATATGGTATAATGACTGTTCTTGAATTGGAGAAGACATGAAGTGAATGGGTGTGTAAAGCAGCACCTTATGAGACCCCCTAATCTCACACTCATTAAATTCTCCCTTTTTCACTTGCAAACAGAAGGCAATTTGAAAGGAGAATCTAGAAGTTTGCCACACGTCACTTTCTTTCAAGGCTCCCATTAAACTGATGCAATTCCTAGTTATATCTCTTTTGTCAGCTGTAGGTTTGGTTAGCTTTCTTGGAATTTTTGGAAAAAAGGGGAGATTAGTATAGGTAATAGCATGATTTGTAGTGATATTTGGCATAAATACCACAAGTGATATTTCAAAATTGTTACACGTAATTTCACGAGCCGTTAGGCAAGTGAAATTTGAGACAATTTTGAAATGTCATGAGTGGTATTTAGGCCAAATATAACGTACAAATCACGCTATTATTTGTTTATACTACTACACACTAAAGGTTTGTAATTTTCACATGTAGGTATTTCAAATTAAGCTGAAATACAACTGCTCTAAGCCAATCAAATTGCAGAAATTTCTCATGTAGTTGTATAATGCTGTTAACTGTAAGGTGCTTGACAGACTTGTTTTGTTGGTACTTGACTTTTCTTGAAATTTTCCCTAAAACCCACTACTGCGTAGCATACATTAGTTTTACCATTTAAGAATAGACTATTCTGACAAGTGAAAAATTGTCCTAAGATTTCCTGAAACGACCCATTAGTACATTGCCATTGGGCATGACTAGTTCTGGGTGTTATCGTGTTTATGGACCTCTTGCTCGCTATAAATTACATCTGGCTCTGGGTAGCATTCATTCAGAACATTATCTATATTTCCTGTGTATGCTTGAGCAGCTGCATTAAATTGTTGGCTTTTTAGGATGGGGCAAACTTTATCAGAGCCAGTGACCACTAAGGAAACCTCATCATCTTCAAATAAGCATTACAAAGTGGGCTCATCTTGTATGCAGGGATGGAGAATAAGTATCCTTTAAAACTACAGTCTTGTTGCTAAGGTGCAACATAATTGCTTATCGAAACATCTCATTAAATGTGACCCTCCACAGGCAAATAGGTAAAAAGTTGGTTGCATAGATTCAGTATACTTACTAGCATGTCACAATATCACACATATTTTTGCAGTCAAATGATGTCATTCATTGCTACCGACACTGAATCCTATTCAGGACTACACTCACAAGAATACTGGTAACAAAATAATTCTCTCAATAGCTTTTAGCCCGCGGCGGGGGCGGGGGGGGAGGTACTTCCTTACATAAGCTATATAGGTATGTGCCGCCCCATCGGGTAGGGTTTTTGCGCTGTTTTGGTCTGAAAACGGGTATAGACTGTGAATATTTTGGTCTGCAATCGGATATTGTTTTCAAGGGAACTACAGGAATGTATGAACGTATTTATGGTTTCAATTCCCAGTAAATAAAAATGAAACAGAAATGTGGGAATTCAAAACACATTTAACCCTCCACAGGCAAATAGGTAAAAAGTTGGTTGCATAGATTCAGTATACTTACTAGCATGTCACAATATCACACATATTTTTGCAGTCAAATGATGTCATTCATTGCTACCGACATTGAATCCTATTCAGGACTACACTCACAAGAATACTGGTAACAAAATAATTCTCTCAATAGCTTTTAGCCCGCGGCGGGGGCGGGGGGGAGGTACTTCCTTACATAAGCTATATAGGTATGTGCCGCCCCATCGGGTAGGGTTTTTGCGCTGTTTTGGTCTGAAAATGGGTATAGACTGTGAATATTTTGGTCTGGAATCGGATATTGTTTTCAAGGGAACTACAGGAATGTATGAACGTATTTATGGTTTCAATTCCCAGTAAATAAAAATGAAACAGAAATGTGGGAATTCAAAACACATTTAAAGAATATTTTTGTTTGCACTCTTAATCTACATGTAAGTAACGATGACAATTTTTTTCTAAAGGCCAGGTCTGAAAACAGGTCTGGATTTTAGAGGTCTGGTCAGAAAATGGATGTGGAAAATGACATCTTTTGGTCTGACATAGGGTCTGGATTTGATGAACCGGGCAGCACACCCCCACCAAGAATTCCCAGGAGTATTCCCCTGGGGTTTTTAGATACATGCACATATCATGATAAATAAGATGTCCTTATATGAGTAAATCCTTAATTCTCGTGATCAGACATGGAAGATTCACACACAGAGATTTTGTCTCTCAGGGAAGACAAAGGCACTGCTTTCTTTGGAGTGTATGATGGACATGGAGGTTTGTCATAGATCAAGACTTAAAGTCAACTACAAGGGGTTCTCAAATCCTGTCTTCCTGTGTATTTTTTCTTGTTAATACCACTATCTTGCCCTTCTTTACTACTAAATCCCAATCCTGCCCAAATGTTTTCAAAAGTTTATTTGTTTAATAAGACTAACCTTATGCAGGTTACGCTATGCTTTGATGTTTGAGGCTCTCAACATTGTCTCTAGTGACTGATCCTATCTTCCAGGTAATGATCAGTAAATTTCTGAGGTACATCTCTATTAAAGGACTTGCTTGTAATAGCAAAAATTTGATTTGATTGGCTTTGATAACAGTGAATGCAACGCAACCACAGAAACCGCTGATAGGTAGGCCATGTAGGCCTATCTTTGGCTTCCTTTAAATGCAGTCACAGCAAAAATTCCTGTATCCTGTTAATTTTACATTACAATTCTCGTATCCTAACCCCCCCCAAAACAGAAAATCCTGCTCCTGGTCATTATTAAAATTCCCGCGTCCGGCTCCTGTTTTTAGCCCATATCCCAAGCATCACCATGAAAATAATAAAGCCAAATCCCACTCCCACCAACCCTATTGTGGACCCCCAAGACTGTTGTTATGGAAATTTTCAAATTGCCAGGAATGCAAGGAAATGATTCTTTTTCCCCTTACGTCAGTGGGGCACACAAGTTTATCTGTTATTGTGCACATGAGCAGTCAGACACATGGGAATGGGGAAAAGGTGCAACTTCTCCTTTCACCTGCTCCCCCTTAGCCCATCTGCTGTTATTCAGCCATTTCAGTTTATGCAGTTCAACTTAGAGTTTATGAGATTTCGTCAGATTTTTAACAACTCCAAACTACGCACCAAAGAGCTTGAATTTGCTTCTTAGAACCAATTCAATAAAATGTGTGTTTTGATTGGCTCCAATAGTACCCTTATTGCAATTGGCCGAAAATGGTGCTAATGCAGGGAGAAATTTGCACAATTTGCCCCTTGACATTATCTCAGGCACCAAATAAAAAATGAAGTAAAAATTACCAGTTTAACATGCTATCATTTAAGTGTCATAGCTTCATCCAGTATGTGTAGTAATGGCTTGATTTGTGATTGAATTGTTAGGGGCCAGAGTAGCACAGTATTGTGGCAGATGCATTCACACAAAGATTGTTAATCACTCGGCCTGGGGTAAGGAAGGCCACAATAATAACATTGTAAATTTAATATTGTTTTTTAAATCAATGTTAATGTACATGTATGTATTTCAGTCAAAGTAACTTAATTGCATCAGTTTTGTATCAGTTTAAACTAAACCAGCATATGGTGTATACATTTTTCTTCAAATAATTATTATTAATAATTATTAATAATTATTAAGACAGTGTGATATATTAGGCAACTTTAAGAAAATACGGTCTGTTCTTTCAAGGGTTTTTCTTTCTGTTGGTCAGGTTATTTTGCTGAGAACTAATTTGATGACGTCGAAACATTTTGTCATTGTAGATAAAGCTTTGTTTATTTATTGTTTATTGTTTTGTTTGCCATAAGTTATAAAAACAAAAAAAAATCTAATTATTTAAACTCTCATGGTGAGGAAGCCCAAGAGAAGCCACCGGGCTTGTAAGGAATGGGCTCCCTCAGTTAGATAATTAGAACAAAATATTATCATAATTACACATTTTTGATTCAAATGTTCCATTCATGACTAAAGTATGTCAATCATTGCTATTTTGTAGTGGAACTCTCTTGTAACATTGTATCCTTTCACAAAGTAGTGTGTTGTCAACTCTCTCATAGTCCTGTCCCTAGAATCTGAGATACTGTATATATTTTTTGATAAATCAATAGTATTGCTTTTCATTCCTATTCACAGGAAAAGGTAACATACATGAAGCCATAAAAGGTGGCTTCTTGTCATGTGACACAGACATGCAGAAAGGTATGCTCAGAAGTGTTGACTTTGGCTAAAATATTGTTGTCACCCTGTCTATAGAGCATTTCCACTCATGTGGCCAGCTGTTATGCAAATTGATTGAAACAAAAGAACAGGGTTGTCACTAAGATTTCAAGTTGCCGGGTAAATACAACAAGTAGGCGGGGAATCAAATGGCTAGGGATTTCTTTTGGTTCTATTTTTCTTCTATTTTCCAATAAAAGTAGCCAGGGGCCACTCTCTTAGTAGCTGGGGAAAATCCCCGGCCCCCAGCTCTTAATGACAACCCTGAAAGCACGTTTTTACATAAGAAAAAGCTTCAACTCCCCCAGGACTGAATTGAGACTCCAACATGGCTGCATTTGAAAACGCTCAATTACTGTCAAAGCTAATAGAATACAATGAGATGTGCAGACAATAAGGAACTGAGTTATTAAATAATTTCTGTTTGTTTGGTGTTCATAAAGTGTGAAAATTTATTTTTGTATCATTGTTTTTAATCCTAAATGAGATACTTAACGTAGCAAACAATAGGTAGGTTTTGCTATTGAAGGATTGGCACCTTTTCAGTTTTATCACTCTTACAGCATGGTATGCTGTCAACTTGAACATGACGAGAGAGAATATACATTAACCTCAAAAAACTGCAAGTCTAAGAAAAGCAAAATCATCATAATAGTACAAAGTAGGGGCTTTGTCTTTTACTGTAAATCTAATCCAAAATTGAGCAAGTTAATGTCAATATTAGTAACTGCTGCTGAAGAACACAGTTGCTTTGCTTCCTTTGGTAAACAGCTGAAGTGGTACGCCCAGGCCATCACCTACTTTTATTTCCTGTATAATTTGGTTTTCCTATCTTAGGTTATCATTTATATAATTTTCACCATTGGTTTTATTTTGTTTTGATTTCAGATGAACAGATGAAGGATGAGATGGCAGGAACAACTGCTGTAGTAGTTATTCTCAAAAACCAGAAAATTTATTGTGTAAGAATATCCTTAGTGTTCTTAATCAATGGCAGTCACCCCAGTGATCAAGCAATTTTTTTTGCATCATACTGGCTCTGAAAGTAGTGATCTTAATTTGTGGCATTTCTTGGCCTGGGGTAAAGTCCACTTACATTTGTTTGACTTGGAAAAATTCACAGCCTCCTGGAAAACGTGATGGATCGCACGGCAATTGTGTGATTGGCACTGTCAATGAATAAGTTTACATCTAGTATTAGTGGTGGTAGTAGTAGTAGTTGTGGCTAACAGGGTGCTAACCGATTAAGGGAATAATTATGTTCATTGTACTAACAGGGCATGTTATGTTAGGGCCCTGAGGTACACCTTTTGCTGAAACTGGGGCAAGAGTGAGCTTTGTTGAATATTTTCTTCACTCTTGACAGCACTTTTATTTTATATATAAAAGAAGGAAGATATATAAAATAAAAGAAGAAATAGCCACAGATGTATTGTCCATTACTTGACAGTGTTTGAGAAACAACAAACTTTTTAAATGGTAAAGTCCCCTTTAAAGGTGTAGTACCAATGTATGAATGAACTGTGCCATATGTGATGAAAGGTTGGAATAATATTTTGTATCACTTGGCAAGTAAATGGCGTGAATTATACAATAATGCACCCAGAGGGTTGTATAAGGGTTTGCAAAATAACTGGTGTTTCATGGTAGATAAACGGTTTTCTGCAATGTACATGTACTTTTTGTAATATCCACCTCCTGATTTTCTTGGTCTTTTTAGGGAAATGTTGGTGACTCCAGAGCAATAGCATCAAAGAAGGGAGCAGTTGAACAACTTTCCTATGATCATAAACCCAGCAATGATGGTAAGGCTGTCATGTTAGACGTGTCTGATTGTAAAAATTCTTGCTTACTTTTGATTTCCTGTTAAAAATTATGTTACCATTGTGATTAGCTATAGAATATTTCATTAGTTCAAGAACTGGCTTAGGTTTTTTCTTTTAAAGTTTTTGGCATTGTACGAGTGCAAGTTAAAGGAACCAGGATTAGCACAATTGGTTAGTGTGCAGCCTTCTGTGCAAGAGGTCCTAAGTTTGATTCCCAAATGTGACCTCAGACCCTTGTTTCCACGGCTGTGGCTAAAATTTCAAGTTGCTGGGTATATGCAATTAACCCTTTAAGCCCCAGTATCAACATACATATTCTCCACCTGATCTGCATACATTTCCTTAAAGAATTAGTTGAGAGAATTTGATAATAGATCAAGGCATTTTCTCTTGGGTGATCATTTTATTTATTCTCATAACGTATCTCTTGACAATGTATGGATATCATTGGGAGAAAATTGCTGTTGGTCACTATTGGGACTTAAAGGGTTAATAGGAGGGGACTTGTACAGCTAGGAAGTTCTTTAGGTTCTATTATCCTTTTGTTTCCTTTAAAAGTAGCCGGGGCTCACACTCATAGTAGCCCCCCAGCTCTTAAGTGACAGCCCTGCTTGTTTCAGCTTGTTTCCTTTCCATGTAGCATTAGGTCAGCTATGGAGCACTGATGAAGAGAGGGGGGTAAAAAGAGTGCATGGCTGGCTTCTGGTTTGTCAGTCAGATAATGACTATTTCGAGCTACAGACATGAAATAAGAACCCTTTACACTGTACCTTTATCCTTTGAGTCACGTAATCGCCGTCAAAATAAAATTTGTAATGTTGTAGTCTTCTGGGATATCTACCAAAGTAATTGATTTGGTGTGCATGGAATAAGGCCTTATGTCAAGCCCCAGGATTTCAGCGGAACAATCGTTTCCGGTACTTTGTTATTACCGTGATTTTAAAATAATGGAACCTAAAAATAGTTTCCCAGTGACGTATCCTCAGGGATCAAAATACACAAACATAGTATTTTTCCACTCGGATTCTTAACTAGCAGAGCAATTCTTAATGATTCAGCTTTTTTTTAAATGAAGTTTTAAAAACGTTTCTGTTTTTCTATCGTCCACCATCTTAATTGATCGTTTCCAAAGTGCATTACACGTTACTGATGACTCATGCGTGAAAGATGTTTTACAGCTAACAACAGCGATTGCTATGGTTTCCAGCATTTCTCTACATTATAAGAAATAAAAGTGGGCTCTCATGAATTTTCACGGAAGCAAAAAATTGTTGCAGATGGTTTCCCACGAACTCTGGACAAGGAACCGAAAAATTGTTATCCATGAGATCTGAAATCGTAGGGCTTGAATTTGGTCCTCAAATTCTTCTTTTATTTCTCAAGCATATTCAAGGAAACTTAGAAGGAGAACTAGTTTGGGGCTTTAATTGGCAGATTGGCCTGTCTGTTGCTCACCATCTATTGAAACCCCTGAAAGGCTAAACTGTTTCCACTTGATTGCTGATTTGCATCATCAGCCACATTATTCCTTCATGTGTCCACTTCTCATTAAAAACAACATTTTCTCTCTTTTATTCAAGATGAAACCAGAAGAATTATTGCAGCAGGAGGCTGGGTAGAGTTTAACAGAGTAAATGGTAAGTAGATTAAATTGAATTATTGTTTCGGGTTTCAGTGCTTAGGTTCATTTTGATTGGCGGTATTGAATTTGTTATGTGTGATGTCCTGTAGGTAATTTGGCTTTATCAAGAGCCCTTGGAGATTTTTGCTTTAAAAAGAATGACAAGAAATCTGCCGAGGAACAGATTGTAACAGGTACAGTAAGATGGAAGAATCTTTTGTACACTTTCACATCTGGCACCAATGAAGAGCGTAATAGGGAGAAGGATACAGAGTGTTCACAAAAATGTTTACTGTATTCTTCCTTCACAGTGCAAGCAGTACATCATAAGTGTTAAAATTAGCACATGTAGTGTTTTCTTTTTCCTTATTTCTTACTGTCAAGCCAGGTCAAGCATACCCCGCAAGATCCTATTAATGAACTTATTATTCGAAAGTTGAATCCATTGGTAGTTGTAGATTTCAGATTCCTCTCTGCATTCCGGTGTGAGTAATGAGCGGTGAATTCACACACGAGGTAGCTATGAAATTTCTACCAGCCCAGGTTTCTTTAGTTATGATGTAAATAACTTCAAAGCAATTCTATACATTAAAAGATTTTTCAATCTGACCAAATACAGAGATGTTATCATAAAAAATTCACGTGCTGGAATGCAGATTTGAATTTGATACTGGTTGTGGCAAAGACTGATGGATTCATTTTTCAAATAATCGATTTATTAATAGACAGTATGAGGGGTATGTTTGACCTGGCATGACTTTAACATTAAAAAGATAATCATGATCATGTACTCGAGATAATTTCATCATAAACATTTTGTTTTGGCGTTATTGGTATAGGTAATAGCATGATTTGTAGTGATATTTGGTATAAATACCACTAGTGATATTTCAAAATTGTTATACATAATTTCACGAGCCGATAGGCAAGTGAAATTTGAGACAATTTTGAAATATCACGAGTTGTATTTATGCCAAATATGTTGTACAAATCATGCTATTATTTGTTTATACTACTACCCGCAAAAGGTTTGTAATTTTCGCCTGTAGGTATTTCAAATTAAGCTGAAATACCACGCTCTAAGCCAAACAAATTGCAGAAATTTCTCATGTAGTACTATAAAAAGCTTAATAGTACCTAAATACTGTGAAATCCTTAAGTAAGCCAGTAAAAATGATCTTATCCTCCTCTTATCTTCCTGATGTTTAGCTTTCCCAGATGTTATACAAAAAGACGTTACTTCAGATCATGAATTCATTGTAATAGCTTGTGATGGTTAGTTGCTCATTCATTCTATCATTTTGGTGTATTAGAAATGTGTGATTTTTATCTTGTCTACTCACTTTCTTGTGTGCTTATGAATAAGTGTGCATTGTCTTTCCTCAGTGTTGCGCATGTTTTGCCATTACATTGTTTTCTATCGTGGGTACCTGTACTATGCTGTTTTAACAGAATAAAAAGAAGCTACTTTTTAGAACATTTAGCTACTAAAAACTGCGTAAAATTTTTTCTTAAAAACATTTAAGAAATTTTTAAAAAAGTTAAACTATGCGACGTTTCGACATTCCCAGACGTCATTATCAAGTAAAAAGTATACAGAGTGAATGTTCTATAAATACAAGAAAAACAATATTTTTAACCTTCATAGACAGATTTAAGTTTTATTCTGACTGTACTGTAAACTTTTTTTAGGAATCTGGGATGTCCTATCTAATCAAGAAGTGGTTGACTTTGTAAGAACAAGGATATCGCAAAGAATGGAACCAGAACAGGTTCGTATGTTCATCGCATGATGTTCTTTCTTGTTCTCCATTTCAGTTCCCTGTTAGACCACTGGTATGTTTCACACACTGTATTTTCTTGAAAATCTCTGAAATTATTCTCCAAGGCCCAGTTAGAGCGATTTTCGTATGACCTTGAAAAATGGTTTCGGTAAGAGTTCGTCATCTGTTTCATGAGCCAATGGATGAAAAGATCAAAACATGGACTCTTCGTTTTCCCGCCAAAGAAAACCCTAACATGGAGAAGACATTGTTCGATTGGCCAATCGTGTTGCAGTATGACGTCAAAGCGAAGTATCAGTTGATTTCTAGAAAGTTCTCGGGCATGAAGTGTTTTCACCCGAACGTTCGCTTAACCAACCAAAAGCCACCCGCGTTTGTATCTGTTCGATAAACCAATCAAATCGCTCTATTTCCTTCGTTTGTTGTTTCTGTTTTGTTCGCACGTTTTCATTTCAAGGTCATACGAAAATCGCTCTAATATGGAGGAAAGTTGCCCGAGGGAAAGGGGGTCACGTCACCCTCCCACTCCCAGCCAAATCAAATTTGGCGAACGTTTTAGTGAGGAAAACGTTGCCCACTTGGCCCGAGGCAAGAGACAACAACGACGCTCGGGCATGCTCTGAGTTGATTCAGCTGAGTAAGCCAAAGTGTTTATAATATGGAGAATAGTTGGCCCAGCGAGAAAGGTGACCCTACCATTAAAGGGTCACCCTTCTAGCCAAGCCAACTTTTTCTTTCTCATGTTAACGGCTCGCCAAGTTTTGAAAGGACATGTTGTTTGTTTTTTTTTCCTGTGTAAGATAAAACTACTTTGTTGTCTACAATCAAACAAGGAAAGGCTGAATTTGAATTATTAGATTATACATTTCATCAATGGATTATTCAATGAACAATCAGAACCAATTGTCAATTAATTATGATTGGGTCCGTCAACAACGGGAACGCTTGTCGCTCCATACAGGTTTGGCTTCAATTATTTTCTTCTCTCAATTTTTACTTGATATTTTCATCTCAGATCTGTGAAGAACTTCTCACGCGGTGTTTAGCACCAGACTGTCAGATGGGCGGCTTGGGCTGTGACAACATGACAGTTATTATTGTTTGTTTTCTTCATGGAGGAACGTACGAAGAACTCTGCGAAAGATGCTCAAGACCAAGTGACTCTAGTTCGTATAATGGCAATTCACAACCACTTTATTCTTGACATCGAATGCTCGTGTGGAACAATTAACATTGATGGTACGATTTCTTAATAAACTGCTTTTTCACTGGCCAATATTTGATAATTGAGGGGAGGGGAGGGGAGGGGGCTTAAATAATAATAATAATAATAATAATAATAATAATAATAATAATAATAGTAATAATAATACTATATATAGTGCCATTTCCAGCAATGCCCAATGGCGCTTTACGAGGAATGTTGAAATTAATTAATTTCATAAATTACTTTAAATAATTAATCTGATTGATTGAAAAAAATACTCTCTCAATTAAAACGACTAAAATATAAAAGGACTAATTCAATAAAAACCTTTTCCTGAAAAGAGAGGGGGACTTATTAACTTTCTTCCCCTAAAAGGTGGGGATAGGCCACTTGCACTAAGAGGTCACGTGACCAATGCTTCCTTTAAACAATAAGTTGGAATCTTGCTGATGCCAAAAATTGACAGAGCACATAAAAATTATCTTACACCCGAAATTTGAGAGAAAACGCATTTAAGGGAGATATTTTATGGCACTTTGATTTTTCAACAAAGTAGTATGATTTGTATTGGCAGCCATGTTGGAGGGCATACTCTTGCCCTCCAACATGGCGGCCAAAACTACTTTTTGCTTATGTCTTGTTAAACGTGTGATAGTTACGCTCAGATGTGCTGTAAACGCTACCACATCATCTTTTCAACATTTCCTTGAAGTTTAAGCGCAAAATTTGTGTTCAGAAAGAGGTAATTCATACTTTTAAAAATCATATTTTGGTCACGTGACCAGCTACGAACTTGCTCATTTTAAGAAAATGGTGCGGGTTTGAAAAACCAAATAATTATTATTTTGTTTAAGATATGACCCCCTAATCGTTTTTCGAAGGCAAAGTCATACAACTTTTATTTTCATAAAAACGATGTCACATGACCTCTTAGTGCAAATGGCCTATTGGGGGCTTAATAGAGGATATACGGTATGCACAAGATTTTCATCCGGGTGGTTTGTGTAGATGGTTAGCACTCCTAAACTTGAATTTTAAAATTAAAAAGAAAGTAGAAGAAAGTTAAAAGTAAAGAGAGTCGGGAAGCCTTGAACCCGGTTTACTAATCATGGCTTTATTTTCGTGCTTCTTTTCGTACGAAATTGTCTTGATCCTTTAATCTTGTGTAATGTGTATAAATTATTTTTTACTTTTTTTTACAGGGGAGTTTGTTCAAGAAATGGTTATTTCTCCATCTTTTTGGACCTTTTTGATGAAGTGCATGTTAATGATTTTAAGTACGGAGAAAATGAGTGACAAGGTTACAAAAGAAGAAAGAGAACGCAAGTTCTTCGATTTTTTTAACTGCCACTTCAGGCCGCCGCACGGATTCATAAATGGAGGTGACTCAGAACATGGCTTTGCCTGATGTCAAGGAAAAGTCCTTGCAACAGAATTGCCCGTAACTGAATTTTTTGCTTATTCGTTTGTTTTGTTTTTTGAATCTTAAGTTATCCTGAAAAATGTAGCCAAGGAAAATTTTGGCACCTTGTAATTTACCGACTTTTAAAAGTGTGGATTGTTGCAATGCAAGACAGAATAGAAATAGTGTTGGAAAGAACTGGATTAGAGTTCTTGGCGTTAATTACAGATGCTCGGACATTGCATTCATGGGTGTTTCTCAACTGTTCGAAGAGAGGAATCGTGTCAGAAAAGGATATTTTCGCTTAAGAACCTCATGGATACGGCGATCAAGTGGGACGAAGTCTCATTTTGAAGTGCGAGTTATTGTGTTGGGAAAGACAATTTATTTCCTTTTTCCCAAGACGTTCACCCCGAATTGAGTGGTGGTTCGCCTTTTGAAAGCACAAATTATCAGAAAAAGATATGCAAGGACGTCGAGCAAGGACCTGTGCAAACAGGCATGTTTTAGACTGTTTGAATCCTCCTAAGGTTGTGGCGCTCACTAATGGGCGGCTATTTTGGTTTCATTTACCAAGATGGCCGCCCCGAAAATTGAGGGGGCGGGGGGGTGCTGTATACAGACTACAGTCGACTCTCTCTTAACGGACACCTCTGTAAAACGGACACCTGGAGTTGGTCCCTGCCTTTCTTTGCTCCCTCTATTCGACTTTCTATAAGACGGACGGCTAGTGCCGGTCCCAAAGGTGTCCGTCTTAGAGAGAGTTGACTGTATTTAACAATTATTCCTCGACCCCGAGTGGGCTCTAAGTCAATAGCCCATGAGGGCGAGAGGAATAATTGTTTTAGTAAAATCCAACTAGTTTGTCAAAAATATCGAGACAAAACAACTTTAGCTAGCAAAACGCGATTCAGCCGCTATTGTTTCGGTTTTCAAAGCCGGCGCTTTTCGCTACTAGTGGGTTATAACATATAGCCTAGTAGTAGCTGAACCAATCAGAACGCAGCACTGATAATAGACCACTAGTTGGATTTTACTAATATGTTTCAGACGAACAGTGTTTGAGTGCAGGAGTTGTCAAATTTTGTGCGAGGTTTTTGGTATTGACTTGCTTTGCCACTAACTTCTATTTCGGGCTTTTAGAAATTCAGTCACTTACGACCTTTTGCAAATTTAATACCTCACCTTTTCTCTGTCAAGTAGTTTTTAGTATTGTGAAAAAGTACAAAACATTGCCAAGAAAAACACCACCACATGACAGTACTGCTTATGAACTTTCAGTAAAACGTTCATACTTTTGGATTTCATCCGCCAGCTCAGTACCCTGCGTGCAGTCTCCTTCGATCTTCCTAGATAAGTCGGGAGATCGAACCGTAGGCCGAGGCGGATAACACCCTCCGAGATCTCCCGACTTATCTAGGACTGATCGAAGGAGACTCTGCCTGCAGGGTACCAGCTCAGAAGTTAGAACCACCTTTTACAACAGCGCAAGATTTACCAGATTCGGGGTCAATAAGAGGTTTGAGTTAGCGTACGTGTCTTGATGAACCACCCAACTTAGAAAAGAAGGTTTATTCAGCTGGTCATAATTTCTTTTCCCGTCGACAAATTCAAACTGTTAACTGTGCTTGCGATTTAGGCTGCATCACGAGCGGTGCAACAGTAAAACTTACCCAAAGATCTGTCGTTTGAATTGTTACAAGGTTAGATTTCTAGACAATAGAGCACTGACATCAGGTTTGTCAGATTTTGTTAGTGAATTATTTTTTGCGGGTCCTCAAAATTAACGTGAAGAAATGAGACAGTTGCTAAAGAAAATATATTTCAAAGGTGGAGTATTCCAGGTAAAAAAACGTTCTACTTTGAAATAGTAAAGAAAGGCGATTTCCTTTAAGCATACAACAGGCAATGACTTCCAAAACATGTTTCAAATGTGTAGGTCATTTCAGTTCGTCTCAGAAGTTAAAACTCCTAACTTGGCCGTCAATAAATGCACAAAATTGTACAGTACACTGCACTTTGCTGTCATTCAATGATAATTTTTATTTTAAAATTCCTTTTGAAACGTTTTGCCCGCCCTTTTGATATGGGAAGACCCCGACATGCGATGTATTATTATTTACAGCTCTTTAAAATTGGCCATTTCCGAGTTGCGTCAAGCCTCTGTTTCAAGGCGAGACTAAGTGCGAAATCATTGATATGAAAACGCAGTCAAACCTGTATACAACGGTCACCCTTGGGAAATGGCAATGTGAGCATTATATACAGAGTGACCGCTAATATATACAGGTCAACTTTGCAGAAAATACATGGCAATTAATTTTTGGAAAGTTGTCCGGTGACCGTAATATACCGGGTGACCGCTATATACAGGGCTGTCATGTACAGGTTGGACTGCTTTTTATTCACATGCAAATAAAAGTTATTTTCACGACAAAGGTTTTGCATCTTGGTCTCGTTTTGAAAGTGAGAGTTTTTGAAGCTCGGAGATGGCCTATTTCCTTCGTTCTATTGCGGTTTCGTTGGGTAGTGTTGGCCACCGTTGTCGGGCGCCTCGTATGTCGGGGCCGGCGATTGCCCTTATCATCGTCTCTGTACGATATTTTCTTTTTCCTTCATAGCTTTAGGGGAGAACTCTGCCCCAGGGCCTCGCACTATTTTTGAAATTTTGACATTTTCTCTTAGGGTGCTAGAAAAACTTGAAAATTCTCCGTAAGGTACCTTCAAAGTTTTATGGAAAGAATGTGTGCGATGGGGAAATAAATGCCGCAAAATGGTTTAGTTCGAAATGTGAGCCCTGGAATGTTCACATTTGCGCACTGAACGCAACTCTTAGAATGTGATTCCTTTTAAGTCACACCAAACCCTGCATATTATCACAGACAAATGCTAGAACTACCTTGCACGGCTTGATAAATTGAAAGCCAACAACTGCCGGAGAGGTATTTTTTCAATGGTTACATCAGTCTCGCTTTTTCATTCAAATTTTCTATATTTGATTCTGGAAAAGGAATCAGCAATGATGTCTCTATTTGTTCGATTTTAATTATTTTTTGTAGCCATTAAACTCGAATAACATATTCTTTTAAAATGGTTTTTAAACGGGTGTTTAGAGGCATTAGTTAGAGCAATGTCTATTTAATTTTCGGGGTGTTCCAAACGATTTTCGGAGTTTCTCAAGTTTTGTGAATTTAAAGTTCTTACAATGCTAGTCTTGTACGCAAATGCAAGATTGTTGTACATAAATAGTAAATGGACTTTCATACAGAGAATTCTCGTAGTGTCTACTATGTGTTTTCTGCCTGTGCCTTAGCTTGAAGCAAGCTTTCCATTTGGGGGATATTATGAGAAGAAACGCGCGAGCGACACGCGAGGGGAGACCGAGAGCGCCTCTCGACTTCGCTGCTGAGTTGTGCGTTTCCGCGCGGCTCGCTTCGCCCGCCACTCGTCGCGTTCTGACAGATCTCCTTTGCAGCTGTTTTTGTCTCCTTTAGGAGTTAAATGAAGCCTAAGCCGACGAGCATCCCTGTAATTTCCATGACAGAGCCCTCTGTCCGGTGCACCATGTACCAAGTTAATGGCAAGTCTCGAGTTA